ATAAATATGACTGCGTGTACCGCCGGTGGTACACATGGCACGGAACGTGTTAACTGGCTCATTTCGTAACTCACCTCGCTTTCAATTCGCGCTGTTGAAATTTCGCTGTGGAGTTTGCTGCCTTCCGCGACACCGCAATATTGTTCCAATTGCCTTCCAGTCAAGTCGAACACCTCCGAACCAGTCATGTCCCTTAACTGTTTGCAAGTTCTGAAACATCATATCGTGCAATTTCCTTTTTTTCAACTGTGAAACGTATAACAATCTTCTCGTTAGTTTTTCATCCCCAGTTTTATACGAAGTTATATACGTGTACAATTTCGACACATACTTGTCTGAAAATCCTTTGGCCAACAACCAACGTTGTACTTCTCTGGGCGTGGAACAGTGGTCCAACAGAGGTTCGCGATTTACACCGTAGTGCTGTTTCTTCTCACGGAATATCATCAACACCTGTTTCAATTCCTCTTGCACTTGTTTCTCGTTGTTCTTCCCTAAAGAGGGACAACGTGCACAGCAATTAAAAGGGTGTTGCGCGTTACAAATGTGTATGTATTACCGCTAATTGAATGATTACTCTTCAATGTAACAGTCGACATGGTCGAAGTAATCGAAGAAACGGACATCTGAGTGTTTAGAGGTGGCGGTGGTGGTGGAGGTGGTGCCGAAGACGTAGTTAACGATGGTGTTGGCGTTTCCGGAATAATTTCATCATTCGCATCTGGAGGCGGTGGATGGACTTGAACCACCTCCGTCAATTCGTTCGGCTTCAATTGTTGATCGTTGGTTTCTGATACATCGATCAACAGCAGCTCCTCCGTATCATTCGTTTCGTAATCAATGGCGAATGTTACTTTGTTGCTGCCGATGGACTTGGTTTCCTCGGCAGGTTCGTCTGCAATTTAATTCAACAACAGATAATACCAGAAAATAATATTTGAATAAACGTGATTTTATACAGACAGCCAGACTTACCATTAACATTCCCGGAATCACCAAACACTTTCTTAATGGACGATCACATTAAGAAGCACACTTTAAGCAAATGCAACGGGGCCACAGTGAGAAAGTATAGTCGACGAAAAAGTAACAAAAAGAATGTATAATTTCGTTTCAGTCAATATATATATATATAGAGAGAGAGACGAGTACAATATGTAACCGAGTATATTTATTAATCAAACGATGTACATAAATTACAGTGCAACAAAATATTGGACGGATCGCAATCCCCATCCCGTGGACACAAAACAAAAATAAAAGAATTTAAAAAGAAAAGAAAAGAGAAGATTTCGCTTGTTCGACGAGCGAATACAGAACGTATCTTTAATTATTAATTGCAAAGTGTCCTTCGTGGACACTTCGTTTTCCATTTCACAGAGATTGCCCGGACGATGGTCGATCGTTGCAGCGCAATTAGGATAACATCTCTAAAGAGAGATTGAAGATGCGAAGATGAATTTCGAGATCCAATTTGCAGGCATCGTTGAACATGTTTCCTCCTTTCCTCGCGTTTACAACTTTCTTATAGTCGACTTAGTTAGCGTCGTACAGTCGAACGGCTCTACCATTGATTTCTGCGTATAAATAATCCGGTCGTTCAAAAATAAATCA